TTGCACAATCTATAAAACGTCACTGTTAATTTCAGCATGCCTAAAAACCTGATGCTTGACGTTGCTATTAGTTTCTATGAAATACATAGAAAAACTATGACCCAATTTTTTTAATGCAAATGAATAATGTGACAGTTCTGGAAATGCTCCCCTTTGGCACTTGCATATTGAGTAATGAGTATTGACTATTGTCTTTTCTAGATTGTACAAGTGAAACAATTTTCATAACACAGGTATGTTAAGTGTGTTCATATGGGCAACCAACCAGCATATTACATGAACAACATATATATAACAAAAGAAATTGGGGACTGCGGTGAAAAGCCAAAAGAAGTGGCCGCAAAGCACTTTCAGTGGGATTGGGATCCTCTACCCGACTAGGAGGGTGCCTTGCGCATCGGACGGGAGGGGAGCGGCCAACACGGGCTCGAGGTCAGCGAAAAAGTGGAGCCCAAGATCTTTGACCGTTGAATTGTCGATCGGGCGACCGGGAGGAAGCAAGACACTCTACCTTACTCTAAAGTAAGGTAGAGGCTCCAGATCCCTTTCAGTGAGGTTATTGAGTTGCTTCTTATTTTCTAAAGTGTAATTCCAAAGTTCAAAATACAATTGATATTCATATTCTATTATGTAACAACAATACTTACTGCTTCTTTGTGTACACTTATAAACCCTCTTGCTTTCCTATTAATCTTGTGTGTTGTCGATTAATTTATATGCTAATGCAGTGGAAATTGTACGATTTGGGATTGATGTTTATTTCACTAAATATCATATTGAATACATAATTGCAGGATTAATACAAAACAGTGTCCTAATCAATATAATATGTTATTACATAATTTTTAGGCATATGAATACTGCTGGGCAGTATCTTAATCGCGCACCGCGCGACACAAAACTAGTACCTAGATACGTTTGGTGACCCCTGTTTTCATCTTTATCAGCTTTAGCAGATAACTTTGTTATCAAATACTCCGTACATAATTTTTTATTAAGTTGATTAACACCGTTTTTTTTTTAATGTAACTTTTGATTTTCCGGGTGATATATATACATTTACATTTCATACAAAAAATTTAACTTTTGATTGCGAGTTTAGTTGTTGTAACGCATGCCCAAAAGCTTACAGTCATTCACATATAACACTACATAGATGTACAGTGGAAGAATGGACTAGGGCTACATGTATTAATGGGTTGGACCCTAATCATACGTATGAGGTGGGGTGGGGGGTAATGGACATCCATATACTACATAACACGCCTAGATGTACATTGCTAAATAAAAACATTTTATTCTCTTTATAAGAGTTAGTAATGTTGCCTCATAAAGCCATGAATCAATATTGATCATTATTAAAGTATAGCTTATAAAAATAAATCATGACTTTTATACATATACATTACATAACACCCTCGGGATGTACATTGTATATTTCTGAATATTCTTATGTAAAAATACATATATTATGCATAGTCATGAATCAATATTGATTAAAATAAGAACTGTAACCCTTTGTTAGAGAAAAACTTTAACCAATATAGTACTTCTATCAAATTATTTCATAATCGTGAAGTTCAATTTTGAAAAACTTTATCAATTGGTTAACATTTCATTGTCTTTCTAGTGTATTTGTGTTGTTGCGAAAAGTTGTTCATGTTACTTTGATATTAGTTACAACATTGAGAAAATTGCACATGAAAAAAGACTTCATGTACGATTTAATCTCTCCACTTATAGTTAAGATGGACATTTCCAGATATAATAATAGATACGTAGTAATTGAGTAATTAATGCACTTGAGAGGGAGAGGAGAAAACAAACAAAATTTCATCAACGGAACTATGGAAACAATATGATAGAAATCACTACAAGAGTATAGATTTAACGTAGGTTGTATTTTTCTTTATTTATTCAAAAAAATACATAGTTATTCGTTTTCAGTGAGCGAAAAGTAAATTTTAAAAATCTCACTTAAGTGAATAGTGTGACACAACCCTTAAAATGATTATTTGATAACTTTCATGTTACTTGTTTTATTCAAAGTAGCATTGGTTACATTTTAGGCTCTCTATGCACATCTCTTAACGAGTGATCACTAGGTTAATGATTCTTTTGTTGAAAATTGTGTTTGACTAAAATATGATAATATAATGCCTGGAGAGCGCGCACGCGCCCGCACACACACTTGTAGCATAAAGCGGAAAAATATATCATACACCCGGCTGTACCGTGCACACGGTACAACCATATATTTTACGTTAAGAGAAATGAGCATACCATTTAAAAAAATGAATATTGATATTAAATTATAAAACTAGTACAATAAATATTTTGACCATAGTACAAAGATAATACGGAGTACGTATAAGTAAACGAATAAGTTGATTTCTAGCATATATATTATGTGTAGATCAGGATACTCAATTGCGTGCTTATAATACTGAACTGTGCTATTAATATAGTGATTTAATACGAATAGTCATTTCTTTTAAACGTACGCTCTCGCATAAAACTCAATATAAATCAACTTTTCAAGAAAGTGACACATTAGAAAATTAATCATATATGTATAATTAATTGTAGAAAGCAATAACTACGTAGTATTTATCTAAACAAGCTGTGTACATAAATAGTAGCCATAAAATGCTAGACATTGACTATAAGACACTCAAACACTGCAAAGAGGTAATTTAATATATGATGTAATAACTACTACCGATATATTCAGACTTTACAAAGGCAGTATATATCGTACTGATAACGTATTGTAAATCAGACTCAAAAGTATACACGGAGAGAATGGACTAGGGCCACACGCACCAATGGGCTAAACCTTAACCATATTTATGGGCTAGGGGTAATGGACATCTACATATTACGTACGGAGTAGTACATAACCAAGAGTTACTTTTGACCGAATTAGGTGGGATTGATATAAAAGACCCTTTTAGCTATTTCTCGTATAATTCTTTTTTTTACATTTTAAATATAATTTTTTCGTAATTAAGCAGATTCAGTCAATTCAATCATTTCAATCAGAAAAGATGATTGATATTGGATTGATAAAGTAATTGATATTGGATTGATAAAGTAAAAATAAAGTAAATACGATTTATAATATGATCATACAAACTTTAACAAATTCACTATGGGAATTAAAAATCTTATAGAGAAGAATCGAAATATAAAAATGGAATAATCAAAAGATGATAATGTGTATGTTATGCAATTTTAAAGTACTTTTTATTTAAAGTGCTTATTTTTATTGTAATAGTTATGCAATTTTAAATGTACTGTTGAATAAAGTACAATTTATATTATAATATTGAACTAATATTTGTTCATTTTTATCTTTGCGAAGATATGGAGTTAACTGAAATTTCTCCAAGTGGCTTTGAAAAATGTTTAATAGACAGTGCCACAACGCACACCATTTTGAGACATATAGATTATTTTTCTCATATGACATTAGTTATTGATGCTAATGTCAATACAATCTCAGGTGTTGCTAAACTCATTGAAGGTTCTGGAATAGTCTATGTGATTCTCCAAAAATGGATAAAATTAATAATTAAAGATGCTTTGAGTTTTAAAGATATGCGTCTAAATGGTTTTCATATTGAAACCGTGTCTGAAAATAAGAAGGTATATTTATGTCTGATGACAAATAGATCTGGCAATAAATACATTTCTAAAAAGAATGCCAGCATATTCCTCGGGATTGTATTATACATATATCAGTCCAATTGAGATAAATGTGATATCTAAAATTTATGACCACAATTCTTTTATCTTGCGGCATGACCGTTTAGGTCATCCAGGCAGCATTATGATGCACAAAATTATTGAAAATTCACTTGGACATTCATTAACTAATGTCAAGATTCCACAATCAAGTGATTTTCCGTGCATTGCCTGTTCTCTTGGCAAATTAATTATCAGGTCATCTTTATACAAAATTGGAGTTGAATCTCATGCATTTTTAGAAAGAATTTAAGGAGATATTTGTGGGCCAATTACCCCTCCGTGTGGACCCTTTCGATATTTTATGGTGCTCATTGATGCATCTAACACGTTGATCACATGTCAGTCTTTTATCGACTAGAAATTTTGCATTTGCAAATCTCCTTGCTCAAATTATTCGTTTGAGATCACAATTTCCGGATTACTCAATAAAGAAAATCCGTCTTCATTTTTTACTAAAATGGGTCATGAAAGAAGGCTAAGAATTTATGTTGGCTTTATATCTCCCTCAATTATTAATTATCTAGAACCTATGACTGGTGACTTATTCATCGCGCGGTTCGATGACTGTCATTTTGATGAGACAGTATTCCCAGCCTTAGGGGAAGATATTAAAGAAATGGACCCACATACGAAAGATATTACATGGAATGTAACAAATTTATCTTTTCTTGATTCTCGCACAAATGCTTGTGAACAAGAAATTCAAAAGATTATTCATTTACAAATTGTTGCAAACCAATTGCCTGATGTTTTCACAAACTCAAAGAAAGTGACAAAGTCAAAAGATTGAAATGATCATAGTTTCAATAAGCACGAACCAGGTCGTGCTGATACTCCAGAAATTGTGATCTCAAACGAACCAGGTCGTGTTGTTTAAAGATTGAAATGATTATAGTTTCAAAATTAATGATTAAAGACGCTTTATACTCCAGTAAATCACGGAGAAATCTTTTGAGTTTTAAAGATATGTGTCTAAATGGTTTTCATATTGAAACTATGATCATTTCAATCTAAATGTGTTCCTGATCATGAATAGTTGGAAGATGACTAAGGATGTTTTTACTTGGACTGTAATTTGCTGGTCTGGTCTGGTTTGATCTAGTCTGGTCTGAACTGGTCTGATCTGGTAAGGTTTGATTTCTTTGTATTTTTATAACTATCCAAGTCTGGTCTGGTCTGAGGCAAATTACAGTCCAAGTAAAAACATCCTAATTCAATTATATTTCAAGTATTTTAGATAGAGCAACGCTACTCATTCAAAAAAAGAAAGAGCGACACCAAAAGTCAACAACCCAGCCTCGCCAAAATTATATTGGAGGTCACCAAAACTGGAGAATATCAGAGATACATTCCTTATTGAGACTTTCTTTACGGAAAATAAGAAATTCTATAGATAAAAAAAATCGACTTTTTCTATATGACCGAACAGTTCAGCGCACTTACACTTCTTCTGTATGTAAATTACATCTTCTTCCCAGAGACTTGACGGAAACCTGCACATGGTGAACTCGCGCGGCTAAGAATGGCGGAGCTCCTTCTGGCAAACCAATACCTTTGAATTTCCTCCCCCGTCCTCTGTATTTTCTTTACGGCAGCTCCATCTCATCCTCTTAGCAATGGCCGCGATGGAATCAATGTACTGAGTGGAGTCGCGAATCAATGCGTACCCCTTTGGCCGCAATATCCTATCCATTTCTAGGAGCACATACTTCATTTCACATCTGCACATGCATGGGAAGGAAGAAGAGATAGGTCAAGGTTGACAGTTGGGTAAAAAAAATTGACTGGATTTGGTGAATAGGAAATTTTAGATTTTTATTGTCATTTTGTCTTTATTTTATTAGTCAAATGTATTTGAGCTCGGTTTTCTCATAATTGAGCAGATTTTGCTGTTTCCCATTTTAGTAGATTTAGCCATTTTAACTAATTTCATAGTTAATAATCTTATTAAGATTTGTGATTTCGTCAGACAAACCAATGGAAAGGTAGCTCAATGCTTATAATCTTTAATAATTCATTTGAATGCCTTCCCGATTGAGTTGTTAGCTGAAAAATTCATCAAAAATATGCATTAAGTAAACTATACTTAATGCATAAGATGCTAAAAAAAATCATCAAAAAATTCCACCGGGAACTGCCCTAAATGGCGAAGGCCGGACAGGGACTCTTATATAAGGGCTTATTTGACATTTTTTATTAGTACGTGGACTTATTTGCCCCTTTTCCCCCTTTCCCCCTTTGATTTATTTGGATCACTTAACATTTTCACCATGCAAGGATAATTTTGGAAGATCAATTTTTATTTTTATTTTCCAATTCTTGAAGTCAAACCAGGAAGTTAATTTCGAGAGGGTGAGAGTATTCAGTATTATATTGGTTTGTTTTTTATACATATAATAATGAATGCGAGTCAAACTCTACGTTTTTTTTTATTTAGCAGTTTTTTCATATTCCAGCATATCTGAACCGTGTAGGCGTGTACTGTTTTCCATAGGAGACCTATATCATATCTATGGATTAGGTTGACTTTTACCACATATTAAGATTTAGGTTACATCAAAAGTGATCAATTTTGTTATTTCCATATTTAGATGATTTAGAAGACTGGCATAATATGTTGAGTTCTTTTTAAGGAAAAGCCTTTGGCGACTTCCATCTACAGCAAATGAGTGACAAGTGCTGCTTATTATGCTGATAAGCAATTTAAGCAGAATAACTCGGTACCAATTACCAAGCGAGGCCTAAACTTCAAACACCGTACATACCTATGGCTTTCAGCAGTGAAGAGGCCATCAACGTGAAGGAGATCATATGTTCTAGGATAAGTTGAAAAGGCTTCACACCTGTAACAAGAGTATAAATTATTGACATTGATGAGTATAAGATAATGACCTACTCGAGAAAAGAAGTAAAGAACATTAAGAATGCAATGTGGTGTGAGCTTACCAGTCATGATAAGTACCAATGAGACCCCTATCATACACCACAGTAAGTGTATTTACTGCGTAAGAAGAAACAACGTTCATGACCCACAAAGGATCATCGACAAGCGAAGCAGCAAAACCTCCGTACAATGTGTTCATGTCCATGACATTTCTGATCTTATCAGTCCCAAGATAAGGAAGCAGTTTCTTGTAGTGCTTCACTCGTTTCTTCCACAGACTATCATCGTGTCTAAAGACAGCTTCATTTCCTCCACGAACATCAAGAACCCGCCCCGGGGCAACATGCAACCTTTCGGGCCACTTGGGAAGCGATTCCAAATTTACTTTCTTGCCCTTTACAGTTGGCACTACAACACATGTCCGCAGTGGTGTGTACCATGCCGAGTCAGGTTCAAGACTGTCATCACACTTTGGAGGGTAGTTGTCGGGACTTTCAAGATGCTTATAGCAACTATTATCTGATAATTTCTGCCACACGGCAATGTCGTCCTTCTTGTTGTACAGTTTGAAACAAATTGAAGTTAGCAAATCTTGGAGTTTCTCATAATCTGATCTCTGCGCTTCAATTGTGGTGTTCCATCCTCTCCATCGGTTTTCATAGTTCACTGGTGGACCCGAGAGGACCCAAAACCCTCCAGGACGTAGTATGCGATGTATCTCTAGAAGATATGTCCCCCCTGAAAACAATAAATCAGATGTATATGCTCAAGGTGAGATAACTTTCTTGTTGTGTGAAACATGCATGCACTACTAGTAACCACTGAATGAGTAGATATTATTTATATATGAACCACCCAAGTCTTTCTTATAAAAGAAATCAGTAAGATACTTTTGAAAGAAACGAGAAAAGTAAGTGTGAAGCTGAATTGGGAAGAGAGGGAGTACTATATTCCAACAAAAAATACTCCGTTTGTCTCAAACATGTCAATTCTTAACTAGATGTAATGCACCTTCAAATAAAAAAAGTTATTTATATCTATTCAGTCACATTAGGCTCAGAACAAAGAATGATAGAGTATCACTCAACATATTTCTCAGACACTATTTTTTTTTATACATCGGAAAAGTTTCTCAGACACTATAGTGCAGCCAACTTAACTGTCTTTTTATAAGAAATTTTTTATCAGATGAATTCGGTTTTTGCAGTTTTGAAAAATTAAGAATCAGTTTTCTATTCGTAGAAAAATTACCAAATTCAGTCCATGGAATAAGGCATCTCGAACAGTGAGCCATATCAAAGGAGCTAGAAGGGAAAGGAAGTCGTTGTGTAGAAATGATCCCCAGAATGGCAGGTATCCCACGTTCTAAAGCAAACTGAACTTGAGCCTCGTGATTATCTCTTGGCGCTAGTGAGACTGTTAGTATCCCACGGTCCAGTAAATCCCCTCCCCAGCTTGCTACCTTAAACATCACAACAACATTGATTCCTAGTAAAGGTCGCATTAAACAAAATTGCAGACATATTATGCCACAACCTGTCACGTAAGGATTTTCCGCTGACCCGAAATGAATGAATGATAATTGAATGAAACAGTGACCAAAATATGACGCTGAGAGTTTCAATGTTCAAAATATGACAAACTATTCTAATATCTCTTCTCTCCTCCACCTGCCATCTATCTGTCGCCAAAAAAAAACTAGGAGACAGGGGCATGTGGAGAGTGTCATTGGTAATTCAAAGTTGAGGCATGCCGCTTTAATATTAAAGTGACATATTTAGTCACTTTTAGAATACTTAAAAGGTAGTTACATTTATGTTTTGTGCTTTTTCTATAGTCAAAACCCCAAAAGAAGTTTATGCAATCAATACTAAAGGGATTTAAAGCAAGTTTATTCAATGTCGAATAGCTGTTCATTAGTTTAACATATTTTCTCTTGCATATAAGCATCATATAACAAAAGATATTGTGTGCCATCGGGACTTTTTAAGAACACGGAAATGGGAAAAAATGATTTCCATATCTGTAAGCTGTAAAGTAGATATAAGGTATGCTCACTAATGACTAATAAAGAACATGTAGAACATTTAAAAAGTACAAACCAATAGATAACTAATAATCAAACGTTTCCCAGCCACTGGTATAACTAATATCCATTAATATCAACTCATTGTAGTCATAAGAAACTGAACCGTCTATTGGCGTGTAAGAAGTGGTATATAACTGCCATATTTGGAAGGCCTAAAACTTTGAAAATGTAGTGTATATAATATACAAAAACTGTTTTTATTTTGCTCAAAAACTAAATACTTGAAAGATTTCTCTAGTTAAAAATTTGACTTAAAATTCACTTATATATGAGATTTTATTACATAATAAGGTCTAACTGTTTCTATGCCTGTCACTGTTTAAAGTTATTGTAATCCTTTTTGAAAGGTCCCTAAATAAAGCACATTTTCCTTATTTGGTGAAGAAAATCTTATCAATTACTCTCAAGTAATAAGTAATAACAAGTATACACCTAATACACTGTACAACGATGTTAACACTTAACACAGTATATTCTATAGTAAGATTTAAAAGGGCACTTCCAGAAGTCAAAGAAAACAAATCTAATATCCTTAAACTATGAACTTCTTTAAGAGATGGAGAGAGTATTTAATTATCATAGAGCTTCTAAAAATTAAGGCGATCTTGATAAGAAGTTGTGCACTTACCCCACATCCAGTGTCAATGGCAGTCCTGATCGTACCATCTTTCATTCCAGGAATCAAACTTACCATGGAATCAACATATTCACTAACTCCATTGGGAAACATGGTTCCTCCTCCAGGAAATAGGAACTTCTCCCCTTCTTTTTTTAACCAATGCTGATTAGATTTTTGCTTGTTGATCCAATCATATGGAACATTTCTGCAACCACATCCAAATATATTAAAATGAGCAGGCACTTAAAAAATCCAACCATGCCTTCAAAAGCCAGCTAGCAAATTCAAACAAGACTTTACCTGTACCAACATTCACGCTTGCTCTTTGGCCATCTGATTGGTTCCTTATAGCCATCCGGCGGAGGGACCAAACATTCCATCCTATCAAATGCAGGAGGGCAGTGGCGTTCCATGAAAGTTAGCCTTTGAAGACTATATTTCCTCCATCTCTGTAATATCAGCACCATTTTTAACATGGTGCAATACGAAACCCCATAATAGACATGATAGGAGATGTTTGTAACATTATACTCCGTATTTATTTAATGTTAGATGAAATAACATACTCCAACACTTTGATGGTTTGTCAAAGCACACTAACCTTGAAATCAGTGTGATCTTTTTCAGTCTTAGTCGAATTGATTATGAGTCCTAGTTGGATATATTACTTCTTTGGTCATAATCGACTCAAATACCCTATTTAGACTCGAGTTCATTTTAAAAGATCAATCTAAGTATAACAGTTAGTACTCAAGAGTTTGTATGTAAGCTTTTTTCTTTAATTTTGGCTAATATGAGATACTTTGTACGGAGTATTTAATAGAGTACTAACAACAGACATCATCACACCATGAGATTGGCTTTCAATATTACCCTGGGATCTGTGCATGGAGTGTAATCCTGGAAGTCAGGACTGCATTCGGGAATCAAAGTGGTGTCAGCATTACCCTTGAGAGGTACAACCTCCTTGGAGACATGATTGTTACTAGTTGATGAATAACTCCCGTTGTCGGAATAGAAGACTCCACCGAGATAAAACGAAACCCCACACAGCACCACAAGCAATAGCGCCATTGGAACTTTCCTGGAATTTTGTTTGTGAATGGGTTTCCCATCTTTATACTTCATCCTGCCCCAAATGTATATCAACTATCTGCAAAACAATTTGAAACTTACCACAATTCAAAACAGAGAAGAATGAATCCCATAATGCTGGAAAACTCTACGAACATCAAATCATTTCATAAGATCAGATCAGTAAACAAGAGTTAATGAGACAACTCTACTAACACCATTTACCTGTCCAGCCGGAAAACGAAATTAGCCAACTGGACTGTAAAAATGCCCCCTCTTCGGCTTATTCTACTTATTATTCTCTTATCAGCATCAGAATAAGTACCTTTTTGACATACTTATTCGATTGAAATGAAGTTTACCAATAACAAACAGGATCTATCTATATACAAAAAGAACAGTAAAACCCAAAAGCCAGCAAACTAATACTCCGTAATTCTTTTGATGGTGTACAGTACACAATCAGTGCAGAAAGCCTTTATAGAAAAGCAGGCGTCCAAGTGCGGAACCTTTTTGACCGACACTAGTAGTATAATAAATCAGCGGAAAAGTTTGTTGAAACCGAGCTAATCAATCGCGTACCTAACGGAAACCATGTGCAGATAAGGAAAAACAGCATTCAATACAGTCCTACGCAATCACAATCTCTTTCTCTATTTGGATCATCAGTTACCTTAACACACCACTCCTAAAATTTACCATAATTTGCACTGTGATCCTTCATTAATACACCTCATTAAACAGTCAAAACAGTAATATTTACTCTATGTAAAAAGGGTATTTAAGAAAACCAAATAAAACATCTGACTTTCTTGAATCTGGAAATAAAAATCATAACTTCAAGATTCTTTTTCTTTCTTCCCTCAGATTAGAATGGAAAGAAAACCCAGTTTGCAATTTAATTACAAGGGAAACAGATAGATCAAAGACAAGATAAGATGGAAATAAATGCGAAAGGGACTGTGGAGTGAAGAATGCAATGCGCCGATCTGAAGGAGATCTGGCGAAAGTACATAGAGATCATCAATGTCATAACTCATAATCCAGAGAACAGAATGACATTAGTGGAATGCAAGAAGAAGAAAGCTAAGAGAATAAATTACCTGACACGCTGACTGATACACACAAACGTCAAAAACGCAATTATTTCACTCTCTATACATGTATGTGTATATATAGACGAAAGACGATCTACCTACAAAACTATTCTGACCCAGAAGGTAAGTTAAAACTGAGAGGTCCCAGAACTCTCAGATTTACTATATGTCGGTCTATACGTAAAGAAGCAAAGATTGACTAACAAGAACCAGAAAATGAATAAAAAAGAGAGAAAAGAGAGGGGATCGGAGATGGTGAGTGGGTCTTCTTTGATCTTGATAAATGATTAAAGAAAAGGAAAATAATGCTGCTTTATCTTTAAAAAAAGAAACTTTATGAATTTCTGTCTGGATCTTGGCAGACTGCCATGACTGGCTAGCTGTCCTATATTGATGTTTGGCTTTCGTAGAGTGGGTACCTTCTTTCTACGCTTCTCTTGTCTCTTTCTGCATGTGCGCCTAACGTAGTCTATGTCAAATCAGTCTCCTCTTTGTCTCTCTCTCCACGTTCCCATTGTAAATTGGGGAAGAATCATCATTCATCCCTACCAAAATCAAATCTACCATTGATCAAACAAGTTACATGCATAAGTGAATGTTTGGGTTGTTTTATTCTTTATTACTCGCATGGCTTACAAACTGTCAAATTCTTAGCGAGCGTTCGACTTGAATTGCCCGATGGAGTAATAAGTCCGGTCTTTGACTTTGTAGCTGCTCCGTGTCTTGGCTATGTACAAATGTTATAGAGGGAGGATTTGGATTTATTCATTTCTGGCTATGTACAAACTTTTTCTATAGTTTGAAATAGTTCGATTTCTATTTATCTTTTCTCTCTTATATTCTACTCCCTCCGTAACTTAAAAATCTTCTCACTTTCCTTTTTCGTCCGTAACACAAAAATCTTCCCATTTTTAAATCTTCCCATCATACCCTCAATAATTCTTAAAATAATACACTATTACAACTACTTTTTTTGGATTTATCCTACATTCCACCACATTATTCCACTATTTTCCCATCATACCCTCAATAATTCATATCATCTTTCACTATTCTTAATCTACCTATTTTTGAAATGGGAAGATTCTAAAGTTACGGAGGGAGTAATATGTTTACGTTCAGTCTCATTTTGTCTTGTTTAATTAGAGGTAAGTATCAGATGGTATGAGACGATTATTTAAAAATAAAAGAACATGTACCGTCCTGAACCTATACAGAACATGTCCCGTTTCGTACCAATTTTCAGTACGGTTTGGTACGTTTTTCGATACTATTTGATGCTTAAATAATTATCTCTCATAAAGCTAGTAAAAAACATACGGAGTATTAAGTTTTATCATTTCTAAGTAAGTAATTATGTAGTATACAAGAGAGAGGAACCCTAGCGGCTGTTTCCCCTCTTTGTAGGGGTTGAGATTTTCCGCCGTCCCTATCAATATGGGGTTGGAGCGGCAGTTTATACTGAGTTTCAGTGTTCTAACGCTTGTGATTGCAACTACGTCGAAGGAGATAGCGTCGGTAGATGAACGAGGTGCAACTGGGAGGTTGTATTGAGGCGGGATCGTGAAGTCTTGGTCGGCCATTCCGACGATGGTGGAGTTGGTATTCACCCATATTGTAAGAGCTCATCCTCCTCCGGAACCACCTCCATACGAGGAAGAGCTATGTGGAAAAATTTTATTTCAGTATTATTTTCTCTTTAGTATCACTTGTTTCTGTTGTAGTCCGAGTAGATTTGGTTTGAATGATTGATTTTTTTGAGTTCTTTTGATAGGCAAGGGTTCAGTTCCGGTTGTTTTGGGCCTATTGTTCATTTCAGGGTTAGCGAGTCATGTTGTTTTGTATGAGGTGAGTGTCTCTAAGTCTACTCCTAGAGTTCATGATTGGATTTGTGAATTTTGTCTAAACGTCCGCTCGTCCGCTCTTTTATGATAAAAAAAGTAAGTTATTGTACAAAAAATTAAGAGAAGGGATTACATGATTGAAATTAAAAGTTTATGTTAAACTAACTTTATGTAATCAAACATAATTGAAATACAAAACTAATAGTCAAATTATAATAAAATTATATTACCAGTCTTCATGATGTAGAGGAGCCGAGGTTGTCGACAAAGTAATTAAACTAGGTTTAAGTGTTACATATCATATTTATTACTAATATTATTTACAAAATATAGTACGCCCGCTTAAGAATTGTATTGGGGCACAAAGAATGTACATTGCATGGTCTATAAATGTCAAAGTTTTGAGTAACCACAATGTAAATTATTGACCAATAATATATAACCAAAATATAAAGAATTGGCCATTTCTGATGGAGTAATAACACTAATAAGTCAAATATTATGTGTCACAATATAATTATTGGCCAATAATATACAAAGAATTGCATCTATTACGCTTAATAATATATATTATTGGCCAATACTTTACATTGTGGTTACTCAAAACAATGTACGGAGTACATTCTTTGTGCCCCCAATACAAATCTTAAGCGTATATATAATTCTGCATAACAAATTTTCGGGACAATACGAGAATGTTAGGTTCAATACGGATTTGAGCCCGGTTCTGAGACGGTTCTCACTTAAGAACAAATACCGTATCATATTATTAAAAAATACCGAAAAGATTCGCCAAATTGACTTTTCTTCGTCAATGACAACCAACTTTGACCAATGATATTTTTTTAATACGAAATCATTTTGAATATGAAAATTATATCAAAATGTTTCTTATTCAAAACATTTTCATAAAAATATAAATTTATAAATTATATACAAATATAATAATCAAAATCATAGTTCAAAGTTTACTATCATTAATCAAGCTGGTGAACCTTTTTGGAACGGAGGTAGTACATTTTTTACTCTGCCCATAACATGCTACTCCGTATAATATAGGAGTACTTCAATATGTCTATTTAATAAAATGTGCTATCTACTACCCCAGTTCTTTTTTAATTGGAACGTTACTGAATTTCACATTATTCACATGTTCTATTTTGATTATATTTATTCATTAAGGTATGAAACAATAAGGTTACAAATTTAATTTTTGAAAAAATATATTTAAATCTCTTAAATTTGATTTTTTATTTTTTACATAATAAGGTATGAAATATACTACTCTGTAATTGTCAAACTTGTACGTACATTGATCAACGTGAAAATTGGAACATTTGCAACTAAAAAGAACGAAAAGGATTAATTAGTATTGGCTGGATCTAATTTGTTCTCATTCAATATGCTGAAGTCTTAAATTATTTACTCTAATATGCTTCCCGATAATAAAAGAGGGTTTCCAATTCCCAAATATTACTAATAAATACTAGCTTTTATACGCGCAATGCGCGATAACAAATGCCTAATATTGTAACCGTGAACAAATACAATTTATTTATACAAAAATTACCTCTCTTAATTACTCTTAAGTATAGGCTTCAACCCAGAGAATGCACAATAAGTTCATTAACATTAGAATTAGGGAGTGTTTCCAATAACTTGTGCTTTACAAAACATCACTTTTTAAAAATGATTTTGGAAAATGTGTTTAATAGTAAATGTTGGTAGTGTTTGAGAAAAAAATGATTTTGAAAAGTAAAAGCTGGTAGTGTTTGAATTGGTAAAATATGTGCTTTTTGTGTAATAGAAAAATAAAAAGCAGATTCTAACTTTTAACTTTTTAGTGTTTTATTTAAGTAGAGTTGTCACCCGAAAATAATATTTTTGACTTTTTAAGGCCAAAAGTCGAAAAGCGTTTTTTTAAATCTTTACAAACACCCCTTAATATATGAGTAAATGTATGTAGTATTATTTTTATAAATGGGGGCCCTAGACAACTTTGTAGGCTACCTCTCCCTAAAGTCTTGAGTAACTTCACGTTCTCTAGAAATATGGTCTTCTCATAAAATAATATTGTTTCTGTTCTTTTTAGTTGTAACGTAACATTCCCATTTTCATGTTTGTCATCACATACCTTTGACCGTAGTTATACTTAATTCTCTATTAGTAAAAATTTTAAAACCAAATTACAAAAATTTCTAATGATACAAATTCAACAATATTTTAAAAAATCAATTCTCATTTATTAATAAATAAAATATAGTCAAAATAGTGTATGTGAATAGTGTAAAGTTATACATATTGCAACTAGAAAATAGAGTATATTATACTTAAAAATGAAGTAAACGGTAAACACATAATATTACCTAATAATAAACTCTAATTTTGTTGGGAAAAACACCCAATAAGTTAGTTAGATGCTGACACATTAAAATAGATAAAAACTGTTTTCATTAGCCAGGGAGATGAAAATTTTGGCTAGTAATTGGATCACGGTCATATTATTACTTAACGGAGTCAGGGTATTCATGACCACTAAAAAAATTAAGTACATTACTTTAATAAAAGAGTACAAGTTCAAATGCATAGAAGAGATTGACACATTAGAGGGTAAATTCCATCGTACAACCGGCTGTACCGTGCGCACGGTACAGCCGGACTTTTTGTTCTCTGCGCAGCACAGGTCGTCGTCGTCTCCAGCAGGCTTCCCTCGCACCATCTCCATCTCTTCTTCGTCCTTGAGAGGCTTCGCGCATTGTATGGTCATCGTTCCCAGCTTGCGCGGTTCGTGGCTTCCTAGCCACAGGGATTCGCTTAGCTCGCCTCTTGGCCGGATCTGTGATGATGGAGCTCTCAACTGATGTCTATGGTGGATTTCGCGATTGACGGGGATGAAAGGGCATCTCAACCCTAGATTTGGCTCCTGTTTTTCCTTTTCTTCGTTTTCTGATGGAGTATAATCGTAGTCTTACTGATGAGTATACACAAATAAAAAGTTGAGTATAGTGGAGATTTTAATGAGTTTTTTTAAATTGTCCGATACTCATTTCGTAATTCGTGTATGCTCATTTCGTATTGGTGTAAACTCATTTTAAAATGTCATATTCATGCATTTTTCAAAAGTATAATATTACATCAAATTCATATATTAGATTCATATAGATTCAAATTCAACGCCCTAAATCAATGAGCATACACAAATGAGCTTTTGAATTTTTTGATACTCATTTTGTACTCATTAAAAATGAGTTTTATATAAAACACAGATGAGTATACTCCTCAAAGAAATGAACATACACAATTGAATATTAAACACATTGAAAATGTGTTATTTTTGTTAAACTTAAATGAGTATAACGTCCAAAATCAATGAGCATACACAAATAAGCTTTTGAATTTTTGGATACCCATTTTGTAAATTATGTATGCTCATTTGGTACTGCTTTATGCTCAATTTAAAATGATGCTCATATCAAATATAACGCCCAAAATTAATGAGCA